ACTCTATGCACTCATGCACTATGTACTTATGCACTTACACACTCAACAGTATAGTATATGTATGTAGTGTTGTCCCAAATGGCACACTAATGTTTTTTTTACTAAGCGGAAATTCAAACCGTTTCCCTGATGACGTTTGACGGTTGCGAAAACAGTGAAATAAACGACCAAATTATCAAGTAATACCTGCCGTGAGTATTCGCCATCGGGAGGCGCTATAATCACTCTCGTAGGAGAATTTTGCTTTCACCATCCAAAATAAATAAAGTTATTCAACATGTGCGTCCGATCGCTCCGCCCTTTCCGCTACGTAAGCAAACCTGCCGTCGTTGAGTGCGTGAAGTGTCCATCATTACACACTTCATTTTAGCGGCTGAATGAGTGCATCATCCGGGTAATTAAAGTGCACTTATTATTTTGAGAGTTTTCAATGTGAACACACTACTTACACTATTCATACTACAAAATGGCGTAAAATAGTGCATAAGTATGCGATTTGGGACGCAGCTATATTGTCTTGTTTTGAGAAATAACATGCTAATATTAAGTGGGTTTTTCCTTAAAACAAGCAAAATAATCTGTCAAAAGGAAAAACAAGATTATTTTGCACATTTTAAGGTAAAACTTCATCCACCACCAGTGTGCTGCATCCACCTGGATGACGCGACGGCAGCCATTTTGCACCAGACCGCACACCACACACCAGCTGACTGGATTCCCTTTCCGTAAGAAATCTGTAATTGTAAATTTGTTTCGGGACTAGTAAAAGTGTTTTGCGTCTTGTTAATTTGTTTTCCAAAATGTAAATTTGTTTCGCCCTTGATAAAATTGTTTTTCCTATGTTATTGTGTCTGATGATGGGTAAAAATGTTTTTCAAAATGTAAATTTGTCTCGAGCTTTGTAAAAGTGTTTCAAACTTTGTAATGTTGTTTTGCACTTTCCGGCCACCGTATCAGGTAGTTGAAACGGTAGGCTACAAATAATTAATTGCCTATGACGACGATGTCATCGTCCATCACGATGTTTCACAGTAGACATTGTACGAATTGGTTGACATCGCTCAACCCTAATAGAAAAAGAAACATTAAAAGTTTTGGATTTGGATGCTAATAGATATATTCAAATTGCTGGCATAGCAAACTATATGTGAATCCAGTGTTGTCAAAAAGTATTCTAGAAAAGGAGTTTCTCAATAATATAGACAAATATGAAAATTGGTTACAGAAAATCAACAAGTCAAAATTTAATGAAATACAAGAAATAATGACAATAAGAACACTTTAATGATAGATGATCATATATAAATATAGACTTTCCACATTCAATGATCTCTTACGCCCGTATTATTCAATGTTCAGGTATGAACACCCCACAGTCTCTGAGCATTTATCTCTGATGTCTCATTTAGCAAAAAATAACAAACTTTTTTCAAATCATTTCACACAAATGAGCAGAAATTAATTGGAATGTTACACACAATCCACAAACACACGCAAATGGTGGCATCTCAAATATAAAAATACTATAAAGAAGATAAAGATAAATTAATTGATTACCTGAGTCTCCAGGCTATGCAGTCTATTAGTTCACCCTTCATCTTTCAAGTCCCTGGATAGTTCATAGGTTATTTTTGTCACATCACATCTACATAATTTAAACTTATTCATTTCAATGCCTATTTCTTCAATAAGCTTGGTATGCCATTCTGAATCTAATGACATTAATCTCGAGAGTTTTGACCAAAGCATTTAAGAACTGTAAGTGAAAACATGCATTTTCCATATCTCTGGCATGGTTGCGATAACACAGGGGAGTCCAAACTCGGTCCTGGAGGGCCGGAGTCCAGCAAAGCTTAGTTCCAACCCCAATCAGACACACCTGGGCCAGCTAATCAAGCTCCAACTAGGCTTTCCAAAAACATCCTTGCAGCTGTGTTGAGGGAATTCGAAGATAAAATCTGCAGGACACCGGCCCTCCAGGACCGAGTTTGGACACCCCTGCCATAACATAAAGCAAGCTTGGTGTGAATACAGTATTCAAAGCAGTATACAGAATACAGTACGAAAGCAGTATGGATATATAACGTCAGTGTGGTGGAAAGAGCGTGGCCGAACACCCAGAAAGTTGGGAGAGCGAGTGGAGACAGTCAGTAGCCCAATCAAAAATAATTAATAACACCTGTTTTCTGTAGTGATTGGGCCGGGGAGACACCAGCTGCGTCCGAAACCGCATACTTCCATAGTATATAGTACGCTAAAATCAGTATGCGAGCCGAGTAGTATGTCCAAATTCATAGAATTCGAAAATCAGTATGCGAGAAGTACCCGGATGACTTACTACTTCCGGCGAGATTCCGGAGTGCGCATCCCATGCACGCTGCACTATCCCATGATGCCCCGCGAGCGAATTCATGAATGGGAGTAAAGCGACGTAACTGACGCAGGTAGGTCACGTGACCATGACAAAAGGGCGGATGTAGTACGTTCGAATTCCATACATACTTTTCACATTCATACTGTATAGAACGTACTTTTCTAACGGCCGAGTAGTACGTTTAAATTCAAATGCAGTACCTACTGAGTAGTCGGCGGTTTCAGAAGCAGCCACCTTCTTAAGGGAGCAAGAGCGACCAGTGAAGAGAGAGCTGAGCTACAACCTGCACATAGAGGGCTGTCGCTGAGACATTAAAAAGAATAAATAAAACTATCACTTACCTAAACGCCGACCTGTCTTCTTCCCACAACAAAGAACCTTTCTACAGTCAGGTATGATTTTGAGTGTTTTTTGATTAAATAAATCATGTTATTATTTGACTAATCAACTTAGATTGCCTTAACAGAGAGTCTCCGACCACATACTCCAAGAGCACCACCCACAGAAAATGATAAAGAGACAAGGCTATATGCCTTCTCCAAAACACATGTGGACTGGTGAGGCATACTCCTACGAACCCTTGAGCACCCTAGTGAGGGTATAAACCTAGTTTAGTGCTCCACGGACCGCAAGAAATCCACATTGTTCCCCCTGTATCCAAGGTTCAATCATCAGCTGGACTTTGCTCTAGCTCCCTGGCCTAGACTTTAGTCTACATGGAGACCACAACCTCAGTTTTCCAGTCCAGAGGTACTGTCCCAGACCTCCACAATATGTTGTAGAGGCATGTCAGCTAGTCTCTGTATGGATGGAGCAGGAGTTTGGTTCACATGTTGGACTCCTGTAGGGCTGCCCTTTGTCACCTGTTTTGTGTTTTATTTTTCTAATTTCTAGCCACATCATAAACCATAGGATTTTATCTTTGCTATTTGAAAATGATGTTGTCCTGTTGGCTCCATAGGACCTGGAACCTCATGCACTGGGGCGGTTTGCTGCCAAGTCTGACATGGTGGGGTTGAAGATAAGCACATCCACGCCTGAAGTCAAAGTGCTTGACCAGAAAAATGTGGCTCGCCATCTTCAGGGTGGAGAAGAGTCCTTGACCCAGGTGAAGGAGTTCAAGTATTGTGGAGTTTTGTTCATGAGTGATAAAATGATGGATCGTGAGATCGTCAGGTTAATCAGTGCAGCAGTAATGCTGTCAATGTACAGGCACGTTGTGGCAAAGAAGGAAATGAGTTGAAAGGCAAAGCTCTCAATTTGCAATCTAAAGTCAATCCACATTCCTAATCTCACTTATGGTCATGACTGAAAGGACAAGATCTTAGATACAAGAGTCCAAATCTAGTTTTCTTCGCAGCGAGGCAGGGGTACCCTCAGAGATGAGTCGAGTTACTGCTCCTCTACAGTAACACAAGCTAGTTGAGGTGGCTTGGGCATCTGATCCAGATGCCTCCTGGACGGATACTTAGGGAGGTGTTCCAGGCTTGTCCCACTGGTAAGAGGCCCCAAAGAAAGACCCAGACCCCACTGGGGGGACTATGGCTGCGTCCGAAACCGCATACTTCCAAACTATATAGTACGCTAAAATCAGTATGCGAGCCGAGTAGTATGTCCGAATTCATAGAATTCGAAAATAAGTATGCGAGAAGTACCCGGATGACTTACTACTTGCATCCCATGCATGCTGCGCTATCCCATGATGCCCCGCGAGCGAATTCATGAATGGAAGTAAAGCGACGCAACTGACGCAGGTAGGTCACGTGACCATGACAAAATGGCGGATGTAGTACGTCCTAATTCCATTTATACTTTTCACATTCATACTGTATAGAACGTACTTTTCTAACGGCCGAGTAGTCCGTTTAAATTCAAATGCAGTACCTACTGAGTAGTAGGCGGTTTCGGACGCAGCCTATGTCTCTCAGCTTGCCTGAGAACGCCTTAGGATCCCCTAGAGCAGAGATGTCCAAACTCGATCCTGGAGTACCAGTGTCCAGCTGAGTTTAGCTCGAACTTGCTTCAACACACCTGCCAGAAAGTTTCTAGCATATCTAGTAAGAGCTTGATTAGCTGGTTCAGGTGTGTTTGATTAGAGTTGGAGCCAAACTCCGGACAACGGCCCTCTTGGACCGAGTTTGGAAATCCCTGCCCTAGAGCATAGGTCTCAAACTCAACTCCTGGAGGGCCGCAGCTCTGCACAGTTTTACTCCAACCCTAGTCAAACACACCTGATCTATTTAATCAATGTGATCAAGACTACTAGAAACTATAAAGCAGGTGGGAGTTGGAGCTCCGGCCCTCCAGGAACTGAGTTTGAGACTACTGCCACAGAGTTGAGGTGTTCAAACTCAATCCTGGAGGGCCGGTGTCCTGCATAGTTTAGCTTCAACTTCCTTCAACGCACCTCCCTGGAAGTTTGGTAAGATAAAGTTAAGTTTTCTATTATTGGACTCGAATTTGGCATCCTACCGCACAACACAACATGTTTGCTTTTGCAACCGGTCTCTTTTTGCAACCCGTGTGACGTCATGTGTGACGTAGGTTGGTAATTCCTCTATAGTTAAAGGAAGATCAGCTCACCAGTCTGAAGATTACAGGGGTTAATCATACAAACTACTATATCTCCAAGCCAGATGACTTCATTTCAGCCCAGCCTATAATTGCCCGAACTCCTGGACGAAGCTCCGCATGTTCTCATACAATTAAGAGAAGTTCCAAGTGGACATTAAGTGACCCATCAATATTGCTAGTTTGCATATTTGTACATTAAGGTTACTCTCAGATGTGACGCTCTTGTGTGTTTTTCAATGTTTCTGACTGACTGAATCTCACTTGTTTCTCTCCACTGTGAATGCTCTCATGTATTTTCAGGCTTCTTAACTGACTGAATCTCATGTCGCAGTGTGAACACCTGTACGGTTTCTCTCTAGTGTGAGTCCTCTCATGTGATTTCTGGTTTCCTAAATGTCTGAATCTCTTGTCGCAGTGTGAACACTTGTAAAGTTTCTCTGCAGTGTGCATCCTCTCATGTGATTTCTGGTTTCCTATGCAACTGAATCTCTTGTCGCAGTGTGAACATTTATAAGGTTTCTCTCCAGTGTGAATCCTCTGGTGTTGTTTTAGACATTTTGAATCACGAAATCTCTTGTTGCAGTGTGAACACATGTAAGGTTTCTCTCCAGTGTGAATCCTCTCGTGTGATTTCTGGTTCTCTATCCGACTGAATCTCTTGTCGCAGTGTGAACACTTGTAAGGTTTCTCTCCAGTGTGAGTCCTCTCATGTGTTTTCTGGCTTCCTAAATACATGAATCGCATGTCGCAGTGTGCACACTTGTAAGGCTTCTCTCCAGTGTGAATCATCTGGTGTTGTTTTAGGATAGCAGCTGTAATAAAGGTCTTCTCACACTCAAAGCACACATACTCTCTCACACCGGTGTGAGTCTTCTGATGATATCTCAAACTTGTTTGATTTGCAAAACTCTTTCCACACAGTGCGCATGAATAAAGCTTCTCTTTTGTATGAACTCTAAGGTGATCATTCAGCTCTGAAGCCCTCAAAAATGTCTTGCTGCATTGACCACATGTGTGTGTTTTCTCTCCAGTGTGGATCAACATGTGTTTATTAAGGTTTGATGCATCTCTGAAACTCTTGCCACACTGAGAACATGTGAATGGTTTCTCTCCGGTGTGGATCCTCATGTGGACCTTGAGATTCTCTTTGTTTGACAGACTCCTTCCACACTCAGTGCAGGTGAAACATTTTTTGTCTTTTCTCTTCAGTGAGTGAGTTCTTCCTCTCATTTTGACATGGCGTGTCTCCTCAATCAGGCCTGAAATAAAAGTGAAGACAGCATTTTATAGAAGTGAAACAAAAAAAAAAGATAGTAGACAACTATGAACTATTCCAGCATATGCTTTACACAGTGGATGCCCTTCCAGCCACATCCCAGTACTGGGAAACTCTCATACACACTCATTCACACATACACACTTAAACCACTATGCCCAATTATGTTTACACAGTTCCCCTATAGCGAATGTGTTCGGACTGTGGGGGTAACCGGAGCACCCGGAGGAAACCCACACCAACACGGGGAGAACATGCAAACTCCACACAGAAATGCCAACTGGCCCAGCCGGGACTCGAACCAGCAACCTTCTTGCTGTGAGGTGACAGTGCTAAAGTTTTTCAGAATCAGATTTATTGCCAAGTGTGCTTCAAACACACAAATCTGTTTTGGCTACAGAAGCTTCCAGTGAACATCAAGTGACAACACAAAATAAATATGAGAAAACAGATGATAAACATTAAACAGAGACGCAGTTAGTCAAAAAAGATCTGGATGTTGAATTGTATGGACAGATTTGTTATAAATATACAGGTTATAGGGTGCTGAGTAATATATGCAGACATCCTACCCTGAAAACTATTATCAGCGAGGAACTATAATAGAATATTTCAGAGCTTCGGTATCTGTATTTATCGCCTGGACACTATTGTTAATAACTATTAAAAAAAAGTTTGGTATGAAGTGAAGGATTCTGATTTCTGCTTTCCAATCCGTCTCATCATAGACCAACGTTTATCCTTTTCATCATCCTGTTTCTCAGTATTTAACTGTGAATTGATTTTAATTAATGAATAAGTTAACACATTGCTTAATATAAGAATGTTTAGTGCATTTGCCTGTCTCTTTATACCTATTTTGGAGACCTTGAGTGGAACTGAGGACTGGAAGCAACTGTTTCTATTGTTGTTTCTACAAGTTAATATTGTTTAAAATGTCTAAAGTGATTTTGCTATTTTTACGGTTAAATCTTTTAAAGTGATTCTACTTTTTATTCAAGATAGACTTTGTGTAGTAAGGATATTATAACTGCCTGAATGTAGATGATACCGGTTTTTAACCAGTTTCGATAAAGATGGCTGACAGTACAGTCAGCCTTGGATAAGAAACAGATTATACTTTGTGTGTGTGTGTTCTATTTGATTGTTGATCCATTTCACAGGTCTGGAGTCAGCTCTAATCAGTCTAAAGGATGTCTGACGTTTATGTTTAGATATTGTTCAGAATATACGCACGAACCACACGTAGAAATGTTCCTAGTTTATCTGTGTGTTAACCAATCAGGTTAGAACACCTATATGTGTGACGCAGTTAATGACGTTATGTGAGAGTATAATTGTTATTGATTGGTGATTGTGAGCAGAGCGGCCTAGGAACTCATTGCAAGTGTTTAAGCTGGCTTCTGCGAATAAAACTGCAAACTATCTTCAGTAAACTTGATTTATTTATTTAAATCTCTGACTCCGGCTCTTCTTCATCTACCAGACTGGTCATTCTTTGGGTTAAACTGTAAACTATCCCTACAGAAGTTTCGGTATGAAGGCTATAGTTTTATTGAAATGTGGCTGCTAAAGCCTGGTCTATACTTCTTTGCAAGTGACCGGCGTAACCCACGGCGCATGCAACTCGCGCAGCTGTGCATTTATACTTCCGCGCGCTGTCTCTGTTGGTCTGCATTAACACTTCCGAAACGCTAGTGGGCAGTGAGGTGTAAATGTTCCTCTGTGTCGAGTTTCTTCGCTGCTGTTTTGCTTTTCCTGAACACTTCCTGGATGTACAAGTGGCTCAAACTCGCTCATTTTGAGGCAGGAACCGGCGGACGAGCAACAACTTTAACTATGAGGTTAAACACAAAACAAAACTTTCCATCCGGAGCTCCTTCACGGGACTCCACACTTGTAAACAATCGCTCCATCAGTCTCGCACCATTCACGCGGCTCTCGGTCCCGCCCAGACTCGTCAGTGCTACCAAGCCGACCAATCCCAGAGCTTGCGCTATGCGTCGTTGCGACGTGTAGTTACATTTTTTGAGAGGTGCATGTCTGCGCGGTAGCATATGCCGGTGTTTGACGCAGAAGTATAAATCAGCCTTAAGCGTGCGCCTTGAAACTAGGGCTGGGCGGTATATCGGGTTCTGGGGATGTATTGATATGATTCCCCAATGCAATGCGGTATTATCCAGTATCGTTCATATCGATATGGTTTGAGGCCACACATGCACATTCTGCGTGCAACAGACCACTCCAAGGCAGCACACGAGCTCCATTTGCACAAATGTACGATTCACTCCCTAAGCCATACAAAAGATTTGTTCAAAATGAACGAATCATTCAAGAACGACCCATCACTGACGCGACATGGAGGAACATGCAGTGCCGTGTGTTGTATCGAAATCTAACTCCTCGAACAAATCTGACTCCCCCTCGCGTGCACGCACGTCACACAGCGGTTTACCAAAAACCTTTTATCGGTCATTTCTTCCGCAATTGACAACAAGAACGAACACAGAAGCCTTGACAGATTGACATTGCAGCACCTGAATGTGTTCAGAAGAAATAAAAACGCCAAAATGGGAGGAATTTATACCGCATTTCAAAAGTGAAACCACCTCAAATTCACTGAATAAACTTCAGTATTTATTACACGACGGTCTTTTCTTTACATCTACACTTTAACACATTTAGCTCTGCATGCTGGTTTGTTATTGCATATTAACTTTAATCCTTTTATTTATTTAATTATTTATATTGTTTTAATTGATTTATTTAGTTTAGCCCCTTAACTGGAAGACATCATTTGATTTGTGTGTGTGCCTATAGTGTACAAACGGTTAGTAGTTTAAATGATTATTAAAACAAAAAAATAAATAAAATAAAAAACATGCATTTGCCTACCGAACATTTCTTTTTCTATTTTAATATATCCCCGCTAGCTTCTCATTCCACAAATAACAAGAATGATAATTAGAATGATGATAATAACAGGGGGGGGACCCCTGTGTTCAAATTATATTTTGCTCAAAAACTGTTTAATAAAGTTTTAATAAGAGCTGGGCGATGCAGTTGCGCAGTAAGTAGTGCTGTCGCCTCACAGCAAGAAGGTCGCTGGTTCGAGCCTCTGCCTTTCTGTGTGGAGTTTGCATGTTCTCTCTGCGTTCGCATGGGTTTCCTCCGGGTGCTCCGGTTTCCCCCACAGTCCAAAGACATGCGGTACAGGTGAATTGGGTAGGCTAAATTGTCCGTAGTGTATGCGTAAAAACGTGCAGGAAAAGTTGGCGGCTCATTCCGCTGTGGCGACCCCGGATTAATAAAGGGACTAAGCCGACAAGAAAATTAGGGCCTACTCAAACTATGCCATCCGTATCGTGCCCAGGCCCGTTTCCCAGATCGTTTGAGAAGTGTGAAATCAGGTTGGAGATATCTACAAATATATTATGACTAGTCATATTCCTCTATTGATTTCCATTGAAAAATATTTGCAGATATCTCTAAATGAGTTGACTCGTCAAAAATCCAATTCAAGATATCTACAACTGTAATTCGACTGTTAGTAAATTAATTAGAGACATCTTCAAATATATTTGTAAATTTCTCTAAATATGACGAATTAAAGACATCTCCAAATGTATTATGACTAGTAAAAACTCAGAGATATCTCTAATTACAATTGTGACTAGTCAAAACTCATTTAGAGATATCTGCAAATATTTTTCAATGGAAGTCAATGGAGGAATATGACTAGTCATAATATATTTGCAGATATCTCCAATCTGATTTCGTACTAGTACAATTGTAATTGCAGATATCTATTTGTCATTCTGACTAGTCAAATTATAATTATGACTAGTCAAAATATAATTAGAGATATCTCTAAATATATTTATGGAGTCAGAACAAAGATTTAAATGCTAAAAAGGCTTGCCATAGAGAGCGCTTCTCACTGAACAGTGCAGCAGCAATGACGTAAGCGTGCCGAGGCCCGATATGGTGTGAGCGCGGGCAACTGTACCTAGTGTGAGTACGGCCTTAATAAATAAGAGCTTTAACTCTAAAGTGACCATTGATGGGAAAATACCGGATAGATATCGTACACCGTCATTCCACCTAAAAATACTGAGATATGATATTTTGTCCATTTCGCCCAGCCCTACTTGGAAGCAATGCCAATAAGCTTGCACTCGCACGACTTGCAAGATGCACACATGGGACTATTTCATTTAATCTAGTTATTATATAATTTTTTTGAATAGAGAGACTGAATACAGTTCAGGTCTACAACAATATAATATAATATAATATAATATAATATAATATAATATAATATAATATAATATAATATAATATAATATAATATAATAATTCCTCCATTGCTACACTGGGTTCATGCTTGTCTGTACACAGACTAGACATATATTTAAAGTGTCACGAAACATCAAAACACATTTTTTGAGCTGTTGACAGTCGTATATGTGTCCCACACTGCTAAAAACACTATTAGGACACCTATATTTCACTAAAAAGTGTAAATTGGTTGTTTTTGCGTTATTTCAAACAAATTCGTACTTCCTGTTTGAAACGAAGTTTTGAAGCTGCGTCACGGTCATGACATAATAGCGTGTATTCCAGCGTGCAGACTGGACGTCTGTGCCAGAGTGAGTCTTATTACGTCTTACAGTGTGATGCATTAATGCATGAGTAAAGCTTGGGTCAAACCAATCAGCGCGCTCTATTGTGCAACTTAATTAATATTCATTTGTGTCACAGTGTTTAGACGACAGAGACGCCACGTTGTGTTGGCAAAACAAGCGTGAAGTGTTGCTTTTATAGTTTGCTGCAGTTAAGTTTCGTTTTCATTTTCTCTCTGCGAGAGCTCATCTGGATCACGTGTGGATTAACAGTGTACGTGACGCGCGACAACAATAACTTACGTGTCTAAGGAGGATTATTGTTTACCTGAGAGCTGTTCTCATCTGCAAACGCTGAGATCCGGATTCGCTTGTAGTCTCCTCTAAATAAAGACGCGGCTCTAGTTGCTGGTGATTGTCCTGTCTCTACAGAAGTGAGCGACCAGTGCTCTTTGTTTATTCAGTTTGTTCGTATCGAATTAAGTTAACTATTGCACTGAGTGCAAACATGTTAGCATATATAACACACGCGGCTTTCTGACGCTACCTGCCGTGTGCATCTAAGTTTCCGGGAAATGCGGAGTTTTTTTTTTTCTCTCATTCGCCGTGCGGTATCAAACATTGCATGAAAAATACACGCTTAGAGCAGTTCCTCGAATCAAATATCTCGTTTGTCGTGAGGGGCATGAATGAATTCCCTGAATGAAAGAACCAAACTGCAGTTAAAGTCCACCATTTAATAATTTGGCAAATAATTCGACTACAGATGTCCATGTAGGTTAAACACCATCACTTTCTCCTGTGTGTATTTTGGCTGAAACTCGCGCGTGCCCAAATAGACACTCCCACACCCTCCCACTTCAGTTCCTCCGACACTCCCCCCTAAACAGAGCTGGACACGCCCACTTTTCCGACTTTTTCTAAAGTAGAGGTGTGAAAACACCCTGCTGAAACGAGGGGGCTTCATGGCCCTTATATTTAATAAAATGAAGGGTTGGACTTACCCTGAACAGAGTTTGTGAGGGAGCGCAAAACTTGGCAAGACAAAGCAAAAACTTAAAAAAATAAAATGACTCTCCCACCACCACTTCCATTTAGGAGCTCCATAAAATAGGGACTGAAATAAGGGCTAAAAAGCAAAATGTAAAACGTATTGATCAAGCTTTTGCTGATAGTTTGGGTTTGTACCACAAATGATGTGAAAATCACCCTGTTTACTCATTCAGATTTAAAAATATATTAATTTATATTACCTAAAACACATTTTTGTTAGACAGACATTATGTATAGGAGAGCTTTTGTCATGAATATTGATGACCGTTCTCACCTTTAAGGCTGATTTATACTTCTGCGTCAAACACCGGTGTATGCTACGGCGCTGACGCATAGTCCTTCGCCGTGGCCGTCGGCGTCGCTGACGTGCACCTCTCAAAAAATGTAACTACACGTCGCAACGACGCGTAGCACAAGCTCTGTGATCGGTCGGCTTGGTAGCGCTGACGAGTCTGGGCGGGACCGAGAGCCACGTGAATGGTGAGAGCCTGATGGAGCGATTGTTTACAAGTGTGGAGTCCCGTGAAGGAGCTCCGGATGGAAAGTTTTGTTTTGTGTTTACCTCATAGTTAAAGTTGTTGCACGTCCGCCGGTTCCTGCCTCAAAATGAGCGAGTTTGAGCCACTTGTACATCCCGGAAGTGTTCAGGAAAAGCAAAACAGCAGCGTAGAAACTCGACACAGAGAAACATTTACACCTCACTGCCAACTAGCGTTTCAGAAGTGTTAATGCAGACCAACAGAGATAGCGCGCAGAAGTATAAATGCACAGCTACGCGCGTTGCATGCGCCGTGGGTCACGCCGGTCACTTGAAGCAGAAGTATATACCAGGCTTTAAAGGGAAAGTCTGTCTCCTGATGAGCCATCAGTGTAAGACTGAGAGTAAATGAGGAGCTCAACACTAGGCAACACTTGAAGTAAATCACAATCTTTCATCAAAGTTCTTGTCTTTGACCCATTCTTGTCTTAAAGCAACTTTGATTAACTTTATTGATCCACTTCAAATGTTGACTAATGCAGAGTTTCTTTGTGTTTCTGTAGATAATGAACAACTTAGTCCACAAAATATGTGCATTTCTGTTCAACTGAAGACTTAATTGAACATACCTGACATTTCCAGAGCCCTTCCTGGTGTTTCTGCCATGAAGTTCTCAGTGATGGAGTTCACCTTCAGCATGTGTAGAATAATATCAGTCCACAGTACCGCTCGCTCTGCAACATCAACACCAGCAATTACTAACACTAATATTCACTCACAACAAACATGTTTCGCAATATTCAACTGTATTATATTATTATATACAAACATTTTTATATTGCACACAAGAAACTGCACTGCTGTTGTTTAGATCATCATAAACAGATTTGATCACGCTTTTTGAGGTCTCCTTTGCTCACAAAAGCAACATTTGTTTGATAAGAAAGGCAAAAAGTAGAGTTGTGAAATTGTAGTTCAATTTAGAGGAACTGTGTTTAATGTAAATATAACGTTAAATATACCTTTAATGGTTTAAATATTCTTCAAAATAACATTAAGTAAAATACGTGGTCATTGCTTAGATTATTATAACATTTAGGTTCATTTAAAGATTCTCTCATGAATGTTTATATTATATACATATTTTATAAAGTACCAAATATCTCGTGTCTGCAACACAGTTATAATAATAAACTGTTATTTGAGCATCAATTCAGCACATATGAACAGTTTCTGAATGATTTTGGCACTGAAGACTGAAGCACTGATGCTGAAAACTTCACTTTGACCAAAAATGAAAGATCTTAAACTACAGTCACACGAAAAACAAGCACTTTAAACTACATTCACACTTTAAAGCTTATTTTATTCATGTTTTTGTTCTAATAGTCTCAACATCAGTGATGTATTTAATGTCTACTTTTAATTTGCAAATATTTTGACTAGTTAACTTAAGCTATGGCAAAATATATACATATAATAGCTGACCTGAAACACGTGTCCTCCTCTGAATAAAGCTGCATCTGCTGGTCCTCTGAGGTAATAATTTCCAAATTTACAACTGTTCCTCACAGTGAGTCTTGTAAATAAAACTGACTTTTTCCCAGCAGTGCTTTGTTTTGTTTGAGGGCGCTTGCTTACGCTGGTGGCACTTCTTCTTCTTATTATTTTTGACAGTTGGCAACCAGCATTTTGGAATATTACTGCCACCATCTGGATTGGAGTGTGAATCATGAGTTAACATATGAATTTCTTATGGTAAAACAAAACGCCAATCAAATTAAATAAATAGAAAGAAAATAAATTTTTTTAAAAAATTTAAAAATAAATATTAATAAAAAAACAACAGACAACTTTCACCAAAGTCCTTTTTTTTCTATTGATTACTTTAAGCCCTTTCCATTTGCATTATACAGCTATATTACTATATATACCTAACTCTATTACTTAACCCTGTGTCTTTCAAAAAGTTAAAAATGTCAATTTTATTTATATAGCACTATTAAACACAACCAAAGGTTGACCAATGTGCTGAACAATAAATCACAAAGAACAAGTATAAAATTAAAGCTAAAACAAAAAAATTCTCACTAATAGTTAATATAACTAAAAACAATTCTCACTGATAAAATGCCAAATCAAAAAGGTAAGTTTTCAACCTGGATTTAAAAACAGACAGAGATTATATAGACCTAATACCGAGGGGCAGAGCATTCCACAAAGTAGGACCAGCTACTGCGAAAGCCCGGTCACCCCTGCATTTCAGCCTCGACTTTGGGATGTATGATAGTCTCTGGTTTGATGACCGAAGAGACCGGCCAGGCTGATGTTCAGTCAACAGGTCTGACAGGTAGGAAGGAGCTAAGCCATTTAGAGATTTAAAAACCAGGAGAAGAATTTTAAAAGTAGCACAACAGTGCAGAGGCAACCAGTGCAGAAAGCTCAGTACTGGTGTGATGTGGTCATATTTTTTGGTGCTGGTTAAAAGCCTTGCAGCAGCATTTTGAACTAGCTGTACGCGGGATAGAGTTGTCTGGCTGATCCCAAAGTATAGCACATTACAGTAATCCAATCAAGAAGTAATAAAAGCATGAAATATTTTTTCAAAATTTTTCCTAGATAAAATAGGTTTGACTGTTTTTAAAAGTTGAAGCTGAAAAAAGCAGGATTTGACCACTGCGCTAATCTGTTTATCAAATCTCAAGTCATCATTACACTGAAAAAAGTGTTGCATGCAGAACTGTTGCAAACAATTTATTTGTGTTGAATTTAAACAAACAAATTAAGTTTAGTAATGTTTAAAACTTAATTTGTTTGTTTAAATTCAGCGCAAATAAATTGTTTACAACCTCTTAACGTAAAGAAATTGAGTAAATCCAAGGAATCATCTTTGAATACATTTTTTCAGTGTAGGGCCAGACGGAATCTGCAGACGTTTTTTGCTATTTCTGCTGAGAATTTTGATAAAAATCTGCGGATTTCTGCAGAATTATTTTGGGAGTATCCAGCGGAGTATCATAACTTACACTTTAATATATTAAATAAAAAGTAATAAATTACTGAATAAAAACTGAATAAATTCCGATTTACACATTTACTCAAGTAAATAAACAGAATTTATAATGGGCTAAAAAACTGCAGAAATCTGCGGAATTCTGCGGAAAATCTACGGAATTCTGCACGCGCAGATTCTGTGTGGGCCTAGCCATCATCAAAGATAACACCCAGATTTTTTACACAAGGCTTCACAGACAAACCCAAATCACCAAGATCAGCTGGTGATGTCCTAGAATAATTTGACGAGCCGAACACAACTGTTTCAGTTTTGCTCTCATTAAAATCTAGAAAGTTCAAAGACAACCAGGCTTTCACATCCGACAGGCAAGACACAAGAGTCTCCAGTCCACTTGAATTCTGTTTTAAAGGCAGGTAAATTTGAGTGTCATCTGCATAACAGTGGAAAGACAGACCATGTTTTCTAAAAATAGGACCCAGGGGAAGCATATATAAGGAAAAAAGAATCGGGGCTAAAATAGATCCCTGGGGAACACCACATGACAAAAAGGCTGCCTCAGAAGAATGATCACCAATGGTGACTTTAAAACTGCGATTGGAAAGATAAGACTTAAACCAATCCAGGGCACTTCCTTTTATACCTACACAATGCTCCAAGCGGGCTAGCAATTAAACATATCTAAACATAAACATATTTAAAACACACATCCAATGTGCTCAACTTTAAGATGTTCTCTATGTTAGGTTCCACTTGTTTTTCCTGTAACTGCTTGAATAATTATTTCTTTCTGTTTGATATATAGAGTGGAGGAACTATGATGTCAATTTGTATGCAAAAACCTGGAAGCGAGTTAGCATTTTAGCATTTTTGGTTCCCTTGTCCCAAAGTCAATGGGTTTTTTGAATGGGGTTTCAGTAAAATCGCTTAAATAAGGTCCGTGGCTAATAAAAATTCAAGATATTTTCACGTTTGTTCTACGACATAAAACACATCAGTCACAGCACACTCTTGAGTTTTTAATTCGGCCATGCTTCTTTAAAAAGACGGTTGCTATCAAGTTGCTAAATGGGACTACAGGCGGTGTTGGTTTGTCTGTTATTTAGGTATTTTCATGAATAGTATTTTATAGTTTGTTGTATTTTTCTAATTGGGAATTCAGATTGTGCGTAGATAACGTCTTCGAGACAGATTTATTTGTTGATGATTGATTTTATTAAACAATTATGAAGTATATTATGAAGATACTGCTCACCAATCCAGTCTCTTTCCTGCTGTCAGTAATGCAAGTGTGTGAATAAATGTGTAAAAATACAGACATATTAACTGTCATTTTCACATGATCAAGTGATCGTTCGTCTTTTTTTCTTCATCTGATCACATTTAACTGTCATAACTGCAGTATTTACACTCCTCCATAAAATGTATAGCAGATGTGACTGTATGGGCTGCTTTTCACTGTACTTCGTGACAAAAAAGGGATATTGAATGTTGCTTTGTGCTCAGGCATTTGATAGACTTGTCCCTCCTCATGCCTTATTTCTGTCGTCTGTTAAGGAAAGCAGGCTGTGTGCAGGCAAGCGATACACTTAATTAAATATGTCTCATGATAATACTATGTATTATGTTATACACACACTTTTAAAACTTTTAGAACAACCTTGAAGCAAAACAGATGTATTTCCCACGTAAAAACGATCTAAAAGGCATGTAGGTCTATGTGTTTTTACGTATTTATTTGTTTATAATATATACGGTGGATTATAATATAATAAACAGAGAGATGAACTCTTTGTCATGGACATTATTTCTAAAAATAAGCTTGAAAAGTCGTCTGTAGCAGGGTGGGGCTGACGTCACAGATGAGTGCCCCTTTTAGATGTGTATTGACAGGGTTTAACACATTTGGGTGCTATGAATACTGAAAGAGTTGAGCTCTTTCAGATGAAAATATTGATTTTACTATTGCCTACATCCAATCCTGATATCAAGTTACATGTAAAGACAAACAACTCAAAAACTAGAGGACTTGAAAAGATGAATAAATACATTTTTCCGTCTCAAAGTGCTTAGAGGATGGATCTACAGATATTTCAAGTTAATAATA